AAATTAGTTTTCTCAATTTGTAACGGGCTACGGGCTACTAATAGAAATCCCAACAAAAACGACGGGCTACCAACGGGCTACCTGTCAAAATTACGGGCTACCTCTTGTTGGTAGCCCGGCGTTGAAATTTTTCTAAGTGTCGACTGAAATTAGTTTTCTCAATTTGTAACGGGCTACGGGCTACTAATAGAAATCCCAATAAAAACGACGGGCTACCAACGGGCTACCTGTCAAAATCACGGGCTACCTCTTGCTGGTAGCCCGGCGTTGAAATTTTTCTAAGTGTCGAGTGAAATTAGTTTTCTCAATTTGTAACGGGCTACGGGCTATTAATAGAAATCCCAACAAAAACAACGGGCTACCAACGGGCTACCTGTCAAAATCACGGGCTACCTCATGCTAGTAGCCCGGCGTTGAATGTTTCCTAAGTTTAAAATACTAATTGAAAAGTTGAATTATTATATTGAGCATTGAACTGTGAATATTAAATAATAATGTTTGGTATAATATTATCTTTAGTACATATAATAATATTTTCATTAGTTTCATAACAATTAGAATTTTATACTGATATATTTATAACAATTATTTTATTTATTTATATATAGAATTATAATATATTTATTGTATATATTTATATATCAGTATAAAATTCTAATTGTTATGAAACTAATGAAAATATTATTATATGTACTAAAGATAATATTATACCAAATATTATCATTTAACATGCATTCGGTTTACTCTGGCTGGCCATAGCCTATCGAAGGGAAGATGGCTATGAAACTCATTAGAATATCAATATAACTCATTATCTATGTTAGTCAACCTTTATTCATAAATCTGGTCTTTCACCGTCACGTGCGTATTGTATTTTTGCCCAACTAAGCAGTAGCAATGCCAATGTTTTAGGAAAGTTACCTATCCGTGACTCGAACAATAGGGTAAATTGGAAATTGCTACTGGTGGATTTGGCAAAAATACAATATGCACGTGACGGTGAAGGACATATTTATGAATACACATAGATACATAATGTATCTATGTGTATTCATAAACAATATAATACATAGATAATGAGTTATATTGTTATTCTAATGAGTTTCACGGCTATCTTCCCTTCGATAGGCTATGGGCTGGGAAAGCAACACAAACGTTTGCTAATTTCTCGCCAAAATTTAACCAAAATTTATCCAGTTTGTGCTTGAGCAATATGTATTAGTCCCGAAAATTTTCGTATTAATACGCTTGATATTTTTAAGTTATCGAGCTGACAGACAAACACACGCATATACAAATGCAGATGAAAACATAAACTCCAGGAGGAGGCAAATAGAGCGTCCAATTTACCTTCACTTGGGACGTGGTATACACGTAAGGTAGTTGGTTTGCTTCGGCTGGGTGTCAGGGTGATGTACTCTCGATTATCAATTTTAATGGATTGTTTAGTAGCAGCGTCAAAAGCTTGGATATTCACCAAGTTCTGGTGAAGTAGCACGACCGTTCTTTGAATCTGTCGATCTCTAGGAATATTGATGATATTAAGAGGTGCTGGCATGTTTGTCGTCAAATAAATATCTTTGCCATAGCTGTTCTTCACACCAAATGCAACGTAGTAAACATCTGAAAGTCAACAAAGGTTGAATAAGAATGGAAATCCATGTAAAACAAACCGCGAGCGACCAACTGAACTAGGTAACAGATGGCGCGGATGTTCATACCTTGCACGGATAAAGGGACGGAGAACCGAGTTGACTGATTGTAACGTCGGTCATTGATTTTGTAGTTTGCTTCTTTAGACCATTTTAGGCCAGAGAAACCAAATATTCACCTAGTCGTTAAGAATTTAATTCAACTGTCACACCTATGTGCGTCGCTGCTTTAAAATGGGGCGAATCTCAAAGCCTTGAGAAGAAAACTCTCGGCTTCTAACTAAACTTATAAATTATAAGTTATAATCTTTGATAAACTTGAACTTTTTTAAACAGATTTTATAGAGAATTTCATATTGACTACTTTAATCGTAAAAATATTGGTGTTTTATTTGTATTCATGTTGTTCATCTTCTTCGCATGTAATATTTATGTAATTCTCCACAGGGCTTCAATAAAAAATGGTGATATGAATTGCGAACCTTAAAATATTACTACACTGCCCGTCACTGGCCCCAGCCAGTGTCATAAGAATGGCCTTGGTCTTTTCTAGCCTCCTCCGCAGGCATCTCTTAATCGTCGAGAACTTATATAATTTAGTTATTCAAATAACTGATGTTCTTATTGGGTTACCTTGTCTTTTCTTTTTCGTTTTTTTTTTGGTTGTCACAAGTGTGACTTTCCATTGCGGCATCGTGGGCTCAGGATTTCGCAATTTTATATAGCTAAAACGTGTTCAGGTGATTACGAAGTTCTACACAATGTTAACTAGACGCTGTAATTGTGGGATGTATTTTATTATATTTCATTGCGCATGCGCTTGAACTTTTTCTGTGCCGATAATATATCGCTGAACTCTATTGGTTCTGTGTGCATTTTTATTGTGCCGTACTCTGAATATTTGTGATCATGAAGTGACGGCCGTCAAGAAGTGAGGAACATCTATATACTTCAAATTATTTTTAGAATATTGCGATGGACCAAATGTGCTTGCTTAACAGTGCTCTCATATATTCTCGTCTCCATCGTTGCCACAACGCGTCCTTACATTTCTTTCATTTAATTTAAATCATGACCAAATGACCTACTTATGGCGACAAAATTAAGAGACAAGTTATGCTTTGCATGGGCTGGCGATTTTGAATGCCTAAAGCGGTTTGTTAGCGACTATCTGCAGCTCAATGGAACATGGTCTCAACCTGGCGGTGACAGAAAGCTATTTACCTTTGATGATTCAGTAATAATATGGAAAAAGAATAAAAACTTGTTGTATCTTGATGGCAAGAAAGCGGGCGATGTTATGAAGGAATTATGCAAGCAGATATGTAAGCAGGACGAGGACATTTCAGTTGCTAAGCAATCAAGCATGCAAGATGTTTGTGAAGACCTCGAAAGTCTTAAGGTTCGGTCACACGGAGCGACAAGTCGCAGGGGCATGTTGTAGGGACATGTCGCCCGAAACGAGTCACACGAAGCGACAATGCTAGGCGAAAACAAGTCGCACAAGCGCTTACAGGCGCGTGGTCACACGAGGCGACAATTCATGCGACAAGTCAAAGAACTCCCATGAGGACTTATATTGAAATTGAGCGTGCAAGTAGTCATGGGAATGATATTTTGTGATAGGTCGGACTAATTATTTCCCCGCGACTTGTGAACAGACTAGCTCACACGATGCAAGAAGTCGCGGCAACGGTTTTTGTCCCCGCGACACGTCGCATGAAATCAAATCAATTTGATTTCATGCGACATGTCGCGGGGACATTTTTTTGTCCCCGCGACAACGCTTACACATGTGACACACGATGAAATTCGACCCCGCGACATGTCCCTGCAACATGCCCCTGCGACTTGTCGCTCCGTGTGACCGAACCTTTAAGCTTGGCCAATTAACCAATTCCGAAGCGATCCAAGCTATATCGGAATCGATTTCTAACATAGGACCGGCAATTCGTCAATTTCAAGAGTTTATGGATAGAAATAAAAAGATTCCCGATGATGAATTTCGGACTGAGTCAACAATTATAACGAACGAGTCTTTTGAATATGCAAATCGGGAAAACATCTGTAATGGTAACAAAGCTAAAGTATGCAACCCTATTGTCTCGAATGAACTGATTAATCCTACCGAGAACAATGGATGTGATCATACAATACCTAATGAAAATGCCTCTACTTCATTTGAAAGAGTAGAACCTATAGAAATGTCGAACGATGTGTCTACTGCATCTCGTCCTATTAGTTAACGTCCACCGAAGCACGAGAACGAACGAATAGCCTCATTAACTGAACGACTGTACCGTCCACATTCGTTCAACTGAACGGTTTCAATTGGCTGAGACAAATTTAATTAGCATATTCGTTTCCTTAGTTGAGCTATCGTGTTAAAATTCTTTGTGATCAGCTGTGTAAATATTTCTATTCGTATGAAGCAATTTGCTGCATGAGTACGTACAGATTGTATAGAAAAAAGTCCACATTTTCAGATTCAAATTTTGAAAGAGTGCACTGTTGTTAA